CAGTAAATTTGCTGCGTTGGCCCAAAGTTTGCATGTTTACTGGGGAGTTCAAATTATTTAGATTTGGAGACTGAGCAATACATACCATGGTGCCCTGAGAAGAATTCTGATGTTAAAATGTAGAGGTGGAGTGAGCAACACTGCATTTCGAATACCGTTACTAAGTAAGACAAAGCAAATAACTCAAATAATGACAACGCAACGATAATTGTGATAATTGCGAGAGGGAATGGACTGATGAATTGCCCTGTAAAATTATAGAAAAAGTCTGCGATATATCGAGCGATGCATTGTAATGGAAAGTAGGCGTGTCATGCCCACATAAGTTTATCCTGGCAGTGTTCATGCGGCCGGGATAAACTAATGGAACAGAACTCGACACAGCTGTTACAGCATGGGGTGTGCTCTCACTCACACTCACCCCATGCTCCAACCTGTGATCTCACACATACGCCAGGCTGGACCCCTTGCTGTAGCGATTTCGATCTAGACCCCATGCTGTAACGCATGCTCTCACACCCACCCCATGCTCTAACCCATAATTTCACTCACAAACACCCCATGCTGTAACCCATGCTATTACAACCCATGCTGGGCCCCATGCTGTAGCGATGTCGATGCAGACCCATGCTCTCACTCACACCCACCCAATGCTGGACCCCATGTTATATCCTAAACAACAAAGACAAAGATCCCCCGTATAGCCTTAAATACACTGTTGGAGCAAGTGCTGTTAGCGAGCACGGTACACGAGGGGGTGATTGGTCAGCACCACGCCCGACCACCTTTGTCTCCCCAGTGGCGATGTTTACACACCGCACCAGGCACTCATTTGAGATTGAGTCGACCTAGGGGAGGCCCAGGACCGGTTCAGATAATCGTCACTGGTGTTGGCCGTGAGCGGGATTCGAACTTGGGTCGCCAGGTTCGTCGCGAAGTGCGCTAACAACTACGCTACCACTCCCCCGTAACCCATGCTCTAACCCTCAAACACACCCCAAGTGGAGGATGCATCCCTCTTGAAAATGCGGCGACGTATCGGAGCGACGGGTGGTGGAATAGGGCCAGCGAGTATGCCCCTTATGGTCCTCCGTGAGGGGCTGCTGATGAGATAGGATGGGGAGTTGCAGCATTACTGCATCGTCGTACCGACTGCTCTGCGGGGTAGGATTACGCAGGCTGCCCATGTGCGATTGATGCACCTCGGGGTGCATAAAACTTTGTTGACCCTATAACGCGACTTTGTTGGCCCAGGATGTCGGAGGATGTCCATAATATGCTGAACGGGTGTGTTGAGTGCGCTCGCCACAAGCCCCCGCTGAGGCAGAACCGGCCGCCGTTGCAGTCCATCGAGGTGTCACGAGTTAATGAGCTCGTTGCCCTCGATATCCTCGGGCCATGTTCCACTACTCCGAGGGGAAAACATTTTGCCCGTCGGGGTGGAGTACCTGTCACGGTTGCCGGTGGCTTGGCCCTTGCCAGATCAGTCGGCCACATCCATCACGGACGCGTTCCTACACGGGTATTGTTTTTGGACAAAGGGACCCCTGAGCGACTCCTTACGGACCAAGGGCGGAATTTCTCTTCTAATTTATTAAAAGAGGTGTGCGACTCCCTCGGCACTAAAAAGATCCGGACGTCACCCTACCACGGGATGGTAGAGCGCTTCCACAGGACTCTCACGTTCATGTTGTGCCAACAGGTCAATGAGGCACAGTCCGATTGGGACTTGCACGTTCCGGGTGTTCTTGCTGCATACAGAATGGCCCCTCCCGCCTCCACCGGGGTTTCCCCCTTTTTCTTCATGTACGGGAGGGAATACGACCCCCCCGTGGAGGCCCAGTTAGACATAGAGCCGACTAGGAAGAAGGTTACTGTGCCTATGCCCATTCACCTTACCCTGAAACGATTTACGGAAGCTTGGGAAGCATCTCGGGGTAATTCGGCGAAAACGGCAGGCTGCAAATGAAAAGTTGGTGGGACTTCGGGGATCTGGAAACCCCTGGAAACCTGGGGACAAGGCATGGCTGCATTGCCCCCAGGTGCCCCTGGGTTCCTTCCCTTAAATTACATAAGCCATGGCAGCGCCCGGTGGAGCTGATTGAGTTCAGGAGGACCGCAGTGGGTACGGATCCAGGTCAGTCGCAGACGCTGGTATGTGCACCCGTCACGACTGAAACCCTATTCTCCACCTTGCGAGGTCGTTTCATCCCCATTACCTGAAGGCCGGGTGTCTGCTGGTCCGACGAGCCCGGGCGTTCAGTCACGAAGGTCGCGCCTCAGCGGGATTCTATTCCTCCACCCACAGGATTCCAGCGCCTGCCAACCACAGAACCACCAGCGGCGCCGTCCACAGGAGGGCCAGGGAGGACGGAACGACCGCCACCCGTTGCCTCTTCTTCCCCTTCATCTTCTTCCCTGGAGGGGCCGCGCCCGTTAGGCCATTTACAAATCGTCCCCGGGGTCCCCAGGAAACCCATTCTTGTCCCGCCTGGGGGCCCAGCGACGAGGATCCGTTAAAAAACTGTTCGATTCAGATAACCCACCCTTCCCGTTCTCCTGTTTATTTCGATGCCGTCTTGCGGGTGGTCGCAGACGCGACCCGGGCTGTGGCTGTTGGTTGATCCGAGGTCCTTCCTGTGCTCGCGGGCTGCGCCACACGCACGGTTGTCGGGGTTGTATATCCCTGGGGGCCGGGTTATCATCGTGCGTCCGCGATTGCTTTATTATTTTCCTTCCGGATATTTATTGTTCTTGTTCATTGCCTCGCAAGTGGGATAACTGTTGTTGTTTTATTCGTTGTTCCGCTGTGCGGGGTATGGAGGTCAGCTGGGACAGCTCTTTTTTTCTTTCACAAGGGGGGGGGGTGATGTAGTGATTTGGAATTGGTCACTATGGCGTGTAGCGCTGGTTGCTGGCAAAAAGGGGACCAGCTGTTGAAGCAGCCCTGTCGGTCAGCAGGTCAGGGGATAGGCTGGAGGAAGGAATGTGGGGAAAGGATGACAGAGGGGGCAGGTGAAGTATGCCGAGAACCTTCTAGTAGGTTCTAGAAGGGGGCGTGGCTGGGGGGGATCAAAGGGAGACCCCGGAGAGGACTTGTTGCTGTTGTTTGAAGTGGAACCCGTGGAGCTGCGCAAGTCTTCGTCATCACCTTCGACATCGTCTTCATTGTTGTTGGTCAGGCAGCCTGTTGCTGTCCTGACCCTAATATCGTTCCCTGTGCCTGTGAAGGCGATATTAAACAGAGTGCCTCCTAAATACTAGTGTCTCTAAAGTGCATCACTACACATGCAACGTTTGTGCCAACGTTGACATAACGTTGGCACATTCCATATTTACTAGGTTGTTTACAAGTAAATAGTGTTTGTTATCGACAGTTATTTTATCGTTGTTTTTTTACGTTACTAAACGAATATTTAGGTGTAGAAGAAATGTTTTCTTGAGAGTCAAATTGTGTTCCGACACACATGGGCGTGGGGTAGTACGCTACCTCCTGCGTTGCGTTAAATCCACTTTCCCATGGCAGGGATGCGTTTCTTCATAGGACGTGCGAGTGGTAAAATACATTCGATTCTATTTAAGAAAAATATAGAGCCCCTGTCAGGGCAATTGACAACGCAAGTCGACGGCGGTACACAAAGGGGCCGAGGGGGATGCACGGGTGGGGTGGAGTGGCTGTCGGTGAGGGAGGTGACGGAAGGGATGGAGGGACAGGGGCTGGGAATGGAGCCATAATGTTGCAGGGTTAGGGAAGGAGGAAAAAGGTGGAGTGTGACGGTGAATGAGGGTGAAAGATGAGTGCAACGTGGATGAGAGGCATCGAGGTATGTGGCACACGCGTGAAGTGTTAAGATAGATAGGGTACTCTGGCTGGGCATGGATGAGGTTAGGTGAAGGGTGGTAGGGGCAGAGATCTGGTGGCCGGATAGTTGGGCTGATTGAGGAATACGGTGGAGACTGAGGGGAGAGATCTGCACATAGAGAAAGCGACACGTGAGAGCCCGGTCAGGAATTAGTTGTCGGAGGAAGAGGATGGGGCGACTGGGTTCGGGGCGGTTGAAGGAACCGGTAGGGGTGGAGGCAGCGGAAGAGAAAAATCAACAGAGAAGAGTTGTGCGTTTTAAACACGTAGGAGGCTTTCGCAACCAATATCATCCATAATATAGAGGGTTTTTTTGGGTTAGATCGTGTAAAGCACCAAAAAAAGCTCTATTATAGTTGTATTTTTATTAACACATACGTTGACAATATGCTCTCTCCCGGTATCTGCCTGTCCACGTACTCATCAAAAAAAGAGGACCCAAGGCAGAAGATCCCCTGGGTTTGGTCTTCCACGAATATCATCTTCCACACTAAACAGCATCATCCACTGCACAAAGCACGGCAGTATTTGCGGATACCTGATGCAGAAATTGAAAATAAATAAATAACTCTCCGGCTGTGTGCGACTGTGGTCATCCAGAACAGACCGTAACAACGTTTAACTACGCAATGCCCGATCCACAAATACGTAGGAGACATCACGGCGATGATACAGACCGCTGCTCCTGACGCGATTATCTGGCTTGACCCAACTGAATGTGAGCTTGTCGTTATTGCTCTGCATCTACATCAGCATCCATACGAAAGAAGAAGAAGACGATTTTAAACATATATTTCTGACACATCTGTAAGCGGTCTTACCAACTCAGTCGCTGGACCGCAATGCCCCCAGAATGTGAACCCTCTCCCCAGGGAGGCCATGCACGGCCGTCGCGGGCTTGCTGCTGCTGGCTGCTGCTTGCACGAGAACTAATTCTGCAAGCCGAGGCGCGCATTGGTACCCACGAGAGGGCGGACGCGAGCTTCTTCTGGGTCCCGACACGCGTGGAGGTGGAGTTCGGCAGCGCTGCCGTGACACTCTGCAACTCAGACGGAGGTGGGTGGGGGGGGGAAGACCCCCTGAGGGCACGCGGCACGAGAGGGTGGGGACGTGGGGGTGGCTGTAGAGGACGGGGCAGCGCGCGCCGAGAGAGAGGTGTCCACTCAACTCCTCTCCAGCGCCACGCACGTGGACTTGCTGCTGCTGTTGCTGCTGCTGTTGGAGTCGCAGGAGAGGCAGGCAGGAGGAGACCGAGGGGTGCTGGCGATGGCGAGGCGGTTCCCGGCCGTGCTGTGCCTCCTGCTGGGGATGAGTGCGGTGCGCGGCGCGCAGAGGGGTACGAGCGTGCGCTCAACCACACTCACTCACCAGGCTCTCATCCACACTCACCAGGCTCTCATCCACACTCACCAGGCTCTCACCCACACTCACCAGGCTCTCATCCACACTCACCAGGCTCTCATCCACACTCACCAGGCTCTCACCCACACTCACCAGGCTCTCATCCACACTCACCAGGCTCTCACCCACACTCACCAGGTTCTCACCCACACTCACCAGGCTCTCATCCACACTCAGCAGGCTCTCACCCACACTCACCAGGTGCTCACCCACACTCACCAGGCTCTCATCCACACTCACCAGGTGCTCACCCACACTCACCAGGCTCTCATCCACACTCACCACGCTCTCATCCACACTCACCAGGTTCTCACCCACACTCACCAGGTGCTCACCCACACTCACCAGGCTCTCACCCACACTCACCAGGCTCTCACCCACACTCACCAGGCTCTCATCCACACTCACCAGGCTCTCACCCACACTCACCAGGTTCTCACCCACACTCACCAGGCTCTCACCCACACTCACCAGGCTCTCACCCACACTCACCACGCTCTCACCCACACTCACCAGGTTCTCACTCACACTCACCAGGTTCTCACCCACACTCACCAGGCTCTCACCCACACTCACCAGGCTCTCACCCACACTCACCAGGCTCTCACCCACACTCACCACGCTCTCACCCACACTCACCAGGTTCTCACTCACACTCACCAGGTTCTCACCCACACTCACCAGGCTCTCACCCACACTCACCAGGCTCTCGCCCACACTCACCAGGTTCTCACCCACACTCACCAGGTTCTCACCCACACTCACTCACCAGGCTCTCATCCACACTCACCAGGTACTCACCCACACTCACTCACCAGGTTCTCACCCACACTCACCACGCTCTCACCCACACTCACCAGGCTCTCACCCACACTCACCAGGCTCTCACCCACACTCACCAGGCTCTCACCCACACTCACCAGGCTCTCACCCACACTCACCAGGCTCTCACCCACACTCACCAGGCTCTCACCCACACTCACCAGGCTCTCACCCACACTCACCAGGCTCTCACCCACACTCACCAGGCTCTCACCCACACTCACCCACACTCACCCACACTCACCAGGCTCTCACCTACACTCACCACACTCTCACCCACACTCACCACGCTCTCACCCACACTCACCACGCTTTCACCCAAATATATTCACCAGGTGCCACAAATGGAACACGTAGACGTCCTGACGCGTGTAAGCGTGGCTCGCGATTGATTTGCTCAGCACTCTGCTCACCCCGGAGAGAAGGCACGATATACCATTGTTATTATTCAACTTCATCCCTTTGCGTGGGATGTTTTTTTCACGTAAACGCGAGATCACTAAACACCGCACGCGGTTATTGCTGCTGTTGTTGTTGTTGTTCGAAAGCTTCAAAGCAGGGTAAGTAACAATTCTCAGAGAACAAGTGCGCGCTCTATTACTTTGTACATTGATCGCCGAAGAGTGGCCCAAGCGGTGAAAACGACAACACCATGGTCACCGTGCGGGCAGCAGCACGCCGGTGGTGTTGTCGAATTGACGCGAAATCCGTGGGCACAGGACGCCTTGCTCGTGGTGCGTGCGGCTTTGGGAGGGCGCGCGCGCGCTTGGCACAAACAAAAGCAAAGGTCGCCCGCGTAGCCTCAACAGACTGTTGGGGGCAAGTGCCGTTGGCAAGCACCTGTGTGTGAAGGCCGGGACGGTGCACAAAGGGAATCGGGGGTGGGCCAGCACCACGCTCGGTCGCCTTTGTCTCCCACAGTGCTGATGTTTGTATGTTCTGCGTGTTGAACTTCTTTCGCACCGTACGTAGCCCAACCGTGCTTGTCGGAGGTGCACCAGGTACCTATTTAAGGCTGTGTTGACCTAGGAGAGGCCTGGGACAGGTTCGGATATTCGTCACCGGTGTTGGCCGAGACTGATGGAATCGGGAACTCGGGTCGCTGGGTTCGGAGCGCAGTGCGCTCACCGCTACACTACCGCTCCCTCCACACACACGCAGAGGTAACGCAGGTTTGGTCTGCCAGCTCTTGTCGACTATCACTGACTACCAGCTCGCGTCTACCAGCTCGTGTCTCCCAGCTCGTGTCTACTAGCCCTGCCAACCAGCTCGTGCCTACCAGCTCCTGTCTCCCAGATCGTGCCTACCAGCTCCTGTCTCCCAGATCGTGCCTACTGGCCCTGCCTACCAGCTCGTGCCTACCAGCTGGTGTCTGCCAGCTCGTACCAGTCAGCTGTAGCAGTCAGGCTGGCACCGCGTTTCGCAAAATACGAACTTCTTGGGTACAATCCCCCGCGTAACGAGACCTGCCGCCAAGGATACCGCTGGTTGATGTGCAGTATGTATATAATCGTGTGCGTGTACAAGCCGTGGCACGTACTGCGTTACGCAACAGTCACGACAGACTGCGTGCAGCCGGGCGCTTGAGAGAGTCTCGCCCTGTGGGGTTCGCATCTGACCCGCAGCGCCGCCCGTGGAGAGCTGTGTGCCTACATATATAAATCCTACGCCACTTGGGGCGGATTTCCCGAATTTCCCCGAGACGTCCGTTGTTGCTGTTATTGCTCGACTCCTTGCCTGCGTTGAGACAGAAGAGAGCTCTGCTCGCGTCTGTGTAACGAGCTCGCGAGCCGATTAACCACGCCACGAATATCAAATTAGCATGGCCGGTGGCGGCGGTGGCTCCCGCTACGCACGTGGCTGCCTGCAACCATCCATGGCTGTGGAGGCAGCAGCGAGGGGTTGGTGGACCACCGCCACAGATGGTTGTGAAACTTCCTTCTCGTGGGGGTCCAAGAGGAGCTGTAACCCTGGCTTGCCAGGAGAATGAGGTACAGCAAAAATGTGGGCTTCAATTGCTCCGTCTGTATGGAATAGAGGGTTTCCCCCTCGCACGCCTCAATTTTCTCTGCGCGCCCCGGTTTTCTCCCACTTTTAAACAATACAGTAATTCATTGGCCAATAACACGTATGCACGTTCAACTTCTTTCGCACCGAATGTATAACTTCTTTCGCACCGTATGAATTAATCTTGGACTTCTTTTGCACCGTATGTATAACCAACCGTGCGAATCGGAGGTGCGGGGTAAGGACAACAAACTAAACACGAAAAGCAGTTCTAAGGAAATGAGTTTTCAATCGAGATTTAAAAGTGTGCAGCTCCAGTGGCTTCCTAATATGGGGAAGGAAGAGCGTTCTCGATGGCCGCAGAAGCGCATCTGAAAGCGCGCGATGTGGTGACCGTCTTTGTACGATGGCCAGCCAGAAGCCGCTGCTGGATGACTAGAGTTCGCGTGATGGTTTATGCACCTTGGCACCTTAATATATAGAGGACAGCAGAGCTTTGGGGGTAATTCGGCGCCGACTCAACCGCGTGACTGCCTTCCCCGTTTGTCTGTGGTTCCTCTTCACGCCTCTGAGTCGTTCTCTCTCCGCACTACTGTTTCGCGGCGCCTTACAAGTTGCAATCATCATAGGGCCCCGCGGTGACGAGATGTTAACTACCTTCCATGGTATACAGGAGGTCGTGGGTTCGATCCCGACCTTGACAATGCCTGCAGCTGTATATTTGGAGTTTGCGCGTTCTCCCCGTGGTCGTGTGGATTTTTCCCCTCCACGTGTAGAATGAACATCGTACGTTTAGAGTGTTTGGGTTTTGCTATAAATGTCCAAACGACGACAAGCCACTTCGTTGGGCTATCATTTCTGATGGCCAGTGGTCACTTCTGAAAACATAACTACAGTGAGCTCAGTGGGCCCTTACCTGGTAAAATAAAAAAAATACATTTTGCGTAGCTTAGTTGATAGCAATAGGGTCCCAATCGCTCCTCCAAGGCCCCCCTCCACCTCTCCGTGTTCCGCACCTCGTACGCAGAATCAGAATCTATATTTATACCGGAGGAATCTGATGAGCTATAAAGCTCTTTTTATCCCCAGAGATGCGCAGTCGGGGCATGGGGCAGGAACGTTACAACGACAAACTTAAACAAATACAAACAAAAACAAAACCCCGCTATCGGAGCGCAACCCTCCGTCGCGGCGGAGCCGGCGCTGTTCCTTTTCGCCGGTGTCGCGAGCAACAGCAAAGCCATCGGCGGCGAGCCACAAATCGGCCCCGCGCTTCTTCAGCGGCTGACAGACGCCTGTGGCCGCTGGTGGCAAACTTGCCAGCGGAGGGGGCACCCGCGCCAACATTCCCCCCACTCACCCCAACCCAAACCCACCGCGATCGTTCAGAGTTCTGCGCGCTGTCTTGCGCTCTGAGGCATCGCGCCGAAGGTGGCGGTGGAACGACGGGCGCGGGTTTGGTCGTTCAGTGACAAACATTGTTTTGTTTTTTTAAATGTTGCTCGCCACTGTGTCGGGTGGAGGGGAGAAGGTGTCACGACACACACTACTCACGCGAGGCGACGCAACAAAAAAAAACCCCATCGATTATTAATAATCGGAAGCAGTCAATGGTGCTTGTCTGGAGCGCAGAGGATGCGAGACGCGTGGCGGCATTCGAAGTTAGTTAAAGTGTCCGCGGGGAGGCTCGCGGCTGCGTTTGGTCGTGGCCAGTTAGTCACCGCGGCGTCTCCATCCCCCGCAGAGCCTTGCCAGCTCATCCCCGGTACCCGTCCCGTGGCTGGAGACCGCTCGTGTCCCCCTTTCGGGCTCCGGTGTGCGTCTACGTGTGTGCGTGTTAGTGTGTGTGCGTGTTAATGTGTGTGTTAGTGTGTGTCTGTGTGTGTGTGGGGAGCGGTAGTGTAACGGTTAACCCGCTGTGCACCGAACCTGGCGAACTGGATTCGATTCCCGCTCACGGCCAACACCGGTGACGATTATCTGAACCGGTCCTGGGCCTCCCCTAGGTCGACTCAGCCTTAAATGAGTGGTGCGGTGTGTAAACATCGCCACTAGGGAGACAAAGGCGGCCAGGCGTGGTTGCTGGCGACTCACCCCTCGTGTGCC